ATGCGGATTGGTGTCCTGATCTTAGCAGGGAGAAGGGCGAAACCCAACTCCCACCCAGCGGTCGCCACGAGGAGGCGCTCAGGACATGAGCCAATGGCACAACAGTAGCAGCAGTGGGTAGACCATCTGTCAGGATCTGGCCACCACCAGCCACTGTTCTGATTGATTGGATTCCGATCAATAGTCACCTTTGTGCAATGAGTCTCTGTGGATCTTGTAAAGTTAGCAGACGTCTAGTCGGAGAGCGTGCTCTCTTCCTGATCTCTGCCTACGTGCCCACTGACTGAAGCTCGGACACCGTGGAAGACCAGTTCTACCGGAACCTTCATGGCCTGCTCTTAAGGGCTCTTAAAACAGACATTGTTTTGGCAGGAGACTACAGCGCGCATGTCTGTCAGCTGCTGCCATGTGAGCGCCACCTCGGGGGACCGCATCGATATGTTGATGTTCGCTCAGACAACGGAGAGAGACTGCTCAGTCTGTTTGCTGATCATCAATTGTTCTTCTCCAGCACCAGCTTTCGTCATCCTGGACGCCAGTACGCCACTTGCCCCCCCCCATCATCAATCCAGCGCTGTTAGCCATAAGTCGCAGGTGGCGCGGCAGCGTACGCGACTGCCGATCATTTTGGTCAACTTGCGTCGATACCGATCATGCACTGGTATGTGCGACCGTTTGCACGCGTTTCGGTGGTTCAGGTAGGTTCAAACACCCGACTAAACGCCTACAAGTTGGAGAACCCAATGGTGAAGAAGGAGTATCAGCAAAGGCTTCGTGAAAATCTCGCTCTATCTCACAAACTGGGTGTCGATCAACACTGGTCAAGTCTGCAACAAACCTTGCTGTCGGCCGCTTTGTCCAGCTGTGGCCTCGCTCGCTCCACTCCCAAAATCTGGATCTCGGGAAAATACTCGGAATTGCTCTATCGCCGACAGTCGGTGCCTGCTGGCGCAGAGCACAACGAACATCGCCGGTCTATTACGCAACAGTTGCAAGCAAGCCTTCGCTCTTATCGTGAATCTTGGTGATCAAAACAAGCTGATGAGATGGTAGCCGTTGCATCAACCGGTAACTACCGCCGTCTATTTTGCATCATCAGGGCCACGGGTTGCAATTCCCACATTATCAGCCAGACGGTTTGCGAACCATACAGCACGAAGATCACCAACCTTCACTGGCGATTGGGTCGCTGGGAAGAGCATTTCGCTCTTTAATTCTACTATCCAACACAGCCCCCTGTAGCACCTCCAGCCCCAATCGATGATGCTTGGCCTGTCTAAACAGCCCCTCCAAATGAAGCAGGGATCTGAGATGGAATCCAATTTTTGAAACTCCACAAGCCTCCTGGTCCCGACAGCCTTTTACCGGCTCTGTTCAAAGATGGCGGGAGTGTACTTGCCAGTGAAATCCTTTCGATGTTCAAGCACCTTTGGACTGAGGAGAAGGTTCCGAACACATGGGGAAAATCGGTCATTGTTCCGATTTACAAGAAGGGCTCGCTCGACGATTCCTGCAACTACCGCAGAATCTGCTTAATCTCTGTCGCATCCAAAATCTTCGTGTTGGTCCTACTTCGCAGGCTTTTAACGACTAGAGAGGAGTTTTCCCGAGAAGAACAAGCCGGATTTCGTCCAGGCCGCGGTTGCATCGATCAAGTCTTCACGCTTCGCCAAATTCTCGAACTCCGTCACATCCACCGGCGGCCAACAATCGTAGTGTTTTTGGACATCCGAGCGGCATTTGATTCAGAAGATATATCGGCATTGTGGAGTTGTCTACTAAGGAAAGGTGTGCCCTACAGGTTTGTAACCATCCTGAAAGAACTACAGTCACAAGTCCGGCAAACTCAGTGCTTACGGCACGTTCTCTTCTTCTTTTACTGTGACCTGCGGTGTTCGCCAAGGTTGCCCTACTTCACCTTTCCTCTTCAATTTCGCCGTCGATGATGTTGTCCAAAGAACACTGGAAGGTGTCCAGAACTGCGGTGTTGAGCGCCTCCCTGGAGACAGAGTCACGGATTTGGACTACGCCGATGATATCGCCATGTTGGGAAACGACCCACAAACGGTCCTGAGCGCTTTGGACCGCTTAGCTATGGAGGCGTCTAATTACGGCTTATGCTTCACTCCTGGAAAATGTAACACGCTGCTCCAGGACTGGCAGGTGCCTGAACCCGGGCTCACCATTGCTGGACATGTTCTGTAGCAAGTCTCTTGCTTTAATTATCTAGGGAGTTGCATCACGGCTGGTGGCGGTGTTGAAGATGAAGCCTCACAACGGATTGCAAAGGCCCGTCTTGCATTTATCAAACTGAGACACCTATGACGTCGTCGTGATGTCAGTATCATACTCAAGGGCAGGGCGTACAATGCTTCCGTCCTTGCAGTACTCTTGTACGGCTATGAGACGGCCTATTCGCTCGGAAAACATGGTGCGGCTGTTAGCCTTTGACAGCCGCTGTCTACGGAAGATTGCTCGGGTGTGGTGGCAACATCACGTAAGCAACGCAGAGGTCCTAGAGCGAGTGCCTGGAGCTAGTAGTGACAGTCTTTAGAACCTTATTCTCCGACATCGCATGCGTTGGGGCACGGGCACATTTTGCGCGTTGCAGCCCATTGCCTTCCACGTCGAGCGCTATTTACACTCCTAGGGAACGACTGGAAGAAGTGCCGCGGTGGACAGCCGATGACGTGGAGAAGGAGGATGAAGAAGGCGACCTCAAGTTTGGCGTCAATCGGACCAGGCTGTCTACCAGGTTGGGGACCACGAGATGCTGAATCTCAAGGGTTGCAAACATTGGATATCATGGCCCACAACAGACATCAGTGGCATCGATGTTGTTCTGCCATTATCTCTCCCATATAATGCATACAAAAAAGTTCAAAATGGCTTGTGTAAAACAAAACAAGAAATCGTTTTCCAATTTTAAAAATCACATTTCGTGTTTCTATCTTCTCCACTTTTTTCTTCTGCCATGGTTCTGATGGCACGATGTCTGTTGACAGACTGTGAATATATATATATATATATATATATATATATATATATATATATATATATATATATATATATATACGTGGTTGGCTGTATCCGGTTTCGGATTTACCTGTCGCTGTGGCCAGCCACAGGACGAAGGCGCCTACAGATGGACCACGGGTGGCTTGGGTTGCACCACCCGCAGCTCCAACCACACACTGAAGGAATAAGACCGAGAGGCACGTTTCATCAATCGAGCCGGCCTACCCTCCTTCAACATTCTCAACAGTATCATTCCTGTTTATCTAAATTTTGAATCATGTGCTTCAGACGTACACATGGCGGTGGCGGTATTTCGCTCTACACTGGGTGGAACTACTCTTTGAGCCTAGCACAGCCGCGAGGACCGTGCACCAGTTCGCCCCAGCAACGATTCACAGTTCCCTGACGCCAGCGATTTAGTTGGAGGGTCTTATACATGTTGGCACCTTGTCAACTTTTACCTCAAACGCAGGCACACCAGGGATCTAAAACAGGTAACATATGATTGTTTTTTTAATATGCACGCAAAATTGACACAGAAAATGCAGTGGAATGACGAAACTGAGCAATTCCAACAAACCGGATTTTTTTTCTATCCAGATTAGGGATATGTGGTTTAAGTGTAATTCGGTGGAGCGCAACTGCGGTGAAGAAGCATGGTGTATGCAGCATCAACCTTCGCATAAGGTACCATAGTAATACCACATCGGAATATTGACAAGATAAGATACGGTTGCGACGTGAGATAAAACCGAAGTAAAAACAGTGGGACAGCGATGACTTATCGGTAGTGTATGTTGTAAATGCCGTCTCCTATATTAACTTCAAACTGTCCGTGCCCTAAGGTAAGCCAGAGCCTTTCCGCTCGTCTCTTATCCGAGGAAAGCGAGAAGTAACTTATAGGGGGAATCCTCAGGCAGTCGGTCGTGTGTTGTTCTTCAAAGTGCGTTACTATTTGTTGTACCCTTGGTCACTTGTTCTGACCGCTAGCATATCTCGACCAATTAATCAGCGCCCAGAATACTACGTGTGTCCCAGCACTTCGCTTTGAATGTCACAGCGTGTTGCCGCTGTCCTTGAATCAAGATTGTTGACTTGTCTGAATCTCATTGTGCGTGCGTGTAGGCGACAGTTGTACAAGGGGGCGTACAGAGGCACTTAACCGGTCTACATCTACATCACGTTGCAACCCGCAAAACTTCACGGTGTCACACGATATGAAATGAAATATGATCCATCTGTCATATATATATATATATATATATATATATATATATATGCAGGAAGTGCAAAAGTAGGTATACAGTAGTATAACATCAACGAAATTAGTGACATGTATTGTTAGTCATTTCTTTTTTTAAAATGCACATATCACGGGTAAGTGGACAATACCATGATCTAGTCTTCTATTTTCAGCAAGTTGATGCCCCATCCCATCTTGCACTCACTGTGCGTGCACTACTTGACTTAACGTTTCCTAAAAGATGGTTTGGACGTCGTGGTGCCATTGACTGGCCGCCACGCTAGCTAGATTTAACTCCTATGGACTTCATGTTTTGGAGAACTGTAAAGGATAAGGTTTTTGCACGCAAGTCCCGCACTGTTCATTTTGCGGGCTTGTCAGGAAACTGATGCTGATAACATCACTTTTTTAGTGTGCATGTGTGTCCGTTCTCAATTACATTAGTGTGTGAACACTGACGCCAAGCTTTTCTAGTACCTGAGGGATTAGGACTTCTTATCACTTGTTTATGCAACATTTCTTCTTTTGTATAATATATAAAGTGAATAATGTACTTGTTTTCCCTTTTTATCACTGTATACCTACTTTTGCACCCCCTGTATATATAGTTTCCCATGTGCGAGCAGCTCATATACTTTCGAAAGGCGGCAGATTTGACAGGCTTTATATAGATGATACACAACGTTTCTACTATTGCAGTAGCTTTATCAATAACATTGCTACTTTTGCACTTGCACAGGTTGCCTCATTCGGGCTTCTCCCCGAGTCCCATCTTGGCAGACGGCTGTCGGAGGTGGTAGAACAGCTGTGCGAACTTTCAAAGCCCCCGTATTGCTTGAATGAGTGCGGAGAAGGCGGCGAGTACGAAACATTCACCCTGGATTGTCCCTTGTTCCACCATCGATTGCGTGTACGGTCTACACCAAAGGTGGTGATGCATTCGAACGATCCATTCGCTCCGGTGGCTTACCTGCAATTAACTGACCTAGCACTTGAGGTAAGCTTTCGTTCTATTTATCCTTCTAGTTTCCTGGATAACGTGGCTTTTCTTTTTTGTTTCGTAGGACAAGCCTACTTCTGAGGTATGCCAGACTTCTGAAGATGTTTTGGCTATTGTGGATGCCACTATTTCGCCTCCCAGACGTCCATTTCTGACCCCACTCGAAAGGTTGACTGATTTGAGGATCAAGTTTGCATCTGAATCATCTAGCGATTTTTCCAACTTACCTCAAGCTGTTTCATCCGAATTCCCAAACGCGGACCAGTACTCATTCTCCGCGAGCCTTCCATCGTATGGCTTCTTTAGTCCTTTTGCCGGAGATTCTTTGTGGTTCAGTGAAACATTCATTGGAACGTGTGAATCCATCTGTAACCAAGAGACAGCTGTCAAGAATGCTACCATGGCGGCGGCAAAGTTACTTCAAGGCCGCCTCGGTGCGTTGATGTCTGCTTTCGTGTGGCCAACTGATCAATTCTGTGACAAACAGCTCACATATTCTTTTCCGTTTACATAGTTGCCATTCACCAGCTATTGGAAAGATAGGTGAAGTAGACTGGTTCTTTTGCTTCTTGAATTGGCAAAACTTCCTAGTCTCCTCGACTATACTTCGACGTGACACCGGGTTATATAATCCTACTGCAAAGCCGATTTCTGATTGGAACTTCTTTACACTAGCCCCCAAATCACACCTGCATTCCAGTTGAAATCTATGCCGAAGTATAGCTGCGAATCTTCACTTTCCGAACCCTTGTTTTAGATCCCAGTTTATCAGCTTGATCTCTCGTAATTATGCTATTAATATTTGGCTCCTCTGCGCCCAATTTCAAAGTTTAAGCCTGTGCTTGACTCCATTTGGTTTTAACTGAGCATCCTGCATCTTAACTTCGTGCTCACTGTTGCAGAACCAATCATTGAATGCTGTGCGTTCTGGGTTAGCTTGTGTGTGGATAATCCAGGGTTACGGGGAAAAGCGAAGCACTCATTTCGTCAGTTTCTGTTTGCGAACGCTACTATTCTGTCATCTGCACACGTTTGCAATTTCATGTTCATTACAGATTTAAAATTACCATACTCTCAACTTTAGTTGTGCTTTGTTTTCTTTTTTGGCAGCTTCCGTTGGCTTATCCTTCAATCATGTGGTGTCATGTATCTGCTTACTGAATCGGCCCCTGACGGATGCAACTTTCTCCGCATTCAACACTGTGTACGCATCTGTGTTTGGTATGCCATTGGAAACGGAAACTCCGCACGGAACATCTCCACAATCTCCTCCTCACCGCTGTTTTCCACCATCACGAGTTTGTTTATCTGTCGATAGCATCCCATACTCGGCTAGTCAAAAATCGGACCATTCGGTATGTAATCTTTACACCCCAGTTGGCAAATGCATTATCATATCTACGTGTGTCACTTAGCTACTGATGTTCCTGGGATTCTTTCCTTGTTCGTCGCTTGTTATTCATTTTGATCAATTGCAGATGGTCTATCATACGACGAACTAGGCATACCAAACCTCCCTCTCAGCCTGGTGTGCATCTTCACTGTAGGGTCCAATTAGTGGTATTTAACTCCCATCTCTCGCACTTTCCTGCCCTTACCTGTGAACACCATCGTCTGAGCGACCTTGGCTAATTCGTTCCACTCGACTTCCGATCTGTGCTCCCGGAGTGCACATCGAAACATTTGGCTGATTCTCTTATCCAAAGAAGTATGGAGCTGCTTCATAGGCACCCCGCTTTTTGGTCTTTGTTTCCTGTTCTCTAACTGCTTAATTGTCTGAGGCTAACTGCGATCGAAAAAACACCTTACGTGGATGCACTTAATCTACAACTCTGCTCCCTCTTAATTACCATACCTGAAATTCAGATTAACTAGATCGAAACGGCATTGTTTTTTCTTCATAAATTTCTGTAGTATCCCATTATCTTACGACTGCGGTTCGCTTTATACATGATTGTTCCGTTCGTGGGCTACGTTGTTTGAGCGGTATGCTACGAACCGGAAATTCGGGCGCACCTAGTTATGACAGCAAAAGAAGATCCATTATCTTGAGCGACAGTTTTGGTATAGTGGTGCCGTATAGCCTTGCTTACTTATGGGACGTTTGTTGTCTCAGTCAACAGACTTTTCGCGACGCTCGGGTTTATGCAGCTCCACTTGATTTCATTACAACTAATTTGAGATCATTCACCAAGCTAGCACAAAGCCTAACCACCTTGTTCTGCTGGTGATTTGTGCCATGTATCTCATATCCCTATGCCTCTCGCAGCGTGAGTAACGTGGACACCATCATAAAAATCAAACGGAGCGAGCGATCCATGGCTTATTGGTCTGTGCCTTCATGTCCTGTCGCTATGGTATCGGTTCCCCACTTTGGGAGCTATCTGACCCTATGTCTGGGTAGAGGGAATAGGATCGCAGTCGATCAAGCCAAACACCTCAGATTATTCGGTTTTGCTCATCGGCTAGGTGAGTTGAACTGTCGATCACTCCATAGGTGTTTGTTCTCCAGAATTCAACCTCACCATCCACTTTACTACACGGACTTTCAGATTGATGTGCATACGCAATGCGCAACTGTTTTTGCTTCGACTTCTTACACACGAATCTTCGTCTCCGTCGCTACGTCTACTCACTTCGGTCGATTGATCGATCACTATCGGTTATCTCGTCTGCGTAGGTTTGGCTAACTGCATCCCAGCCCCCATACAACTCCCCGTGGTGGAATAGCAGCAAAACCTCAATGTACAGTATTGGTGTTTTTTCCAATGCGTTTCGGTTTAGACGGTTTGAAAATCACACCCTTAGTGCTGACGATATACTCTCATAGTCGAGGGCAACATATCGCTACTGCCGGATATCGCTTGCCGAAACTAGCCCACGTTACAGTGGCATTATTACAACCATTTCCTCCCTCGTCATTTATTTACTTTCGCTTGTCGATTCAATCGATCGTCACAACCTAGGTTAGCGCTCATTCCCCATGGTTCGCGCTCCGATCAGTTCTTATTGAGTGCGATTGCTACGTTTAATCCGTTGGTTCCCTGTATATTTACGTTGTAATGGCATCTGATAGTTTAGGCCAATAGAACCGACGCCCAGGTCGGTAGGCAAAGCCATCCAAGCGCCGTCCAGGCGAGTTCACTATAACGGGCCGGATGGACAATACAGGACCCATCCGGCCCTGCATGTATCTTTACTTGGTATAGTCTTTCCGTAAACCCTCTATTATGATATAAATGTTGAAAATACGCATCCTTCCGATGCATGACTTGCATTGACTCATCCATAGTGAGCGAACAGCGCGCGTCTATGAACTTAGACTGACGACACGGAGTTCGCCTGTGGGTAATCAATTGGAAAAACGGAACGGACATTGCGCCGGTGTACGGAAGCCATTCGACTGCCGCCCACGCAAGTTGGCCATATTTGCAATGTAAGCTGGACCATGTAAAACTTGTCTCGCCCATCATCAATGGGACCCCGTGTGGATCCAAGCAGAGCAGGTATGGATTGGACCGGGTAGCAACGAGTGCGTGTAAATGAACTCGAGCATGTAATAGAAGATGAACAGCAGAGATTTGCCAGTAAGCTGAGCTACGGTGAGATAGCGTTTCCGTTTCGTGTAGGGTACATATCACTTGTCTCCACAGACAACAGATTTTCAGTCACTGCCCATAAATCTCTGGTTGGGAATCATCCTGCGAAGTCCACATTATGCGAGTATTGATAAGTCTGCCTGAAGCGCAGGAGCGATTGAACTCGGGACACCGAATCGCGGCAAACCAGTCTGGGTAATGTGCATACCGAGGACTAACCAAACCACCTAGTGATACTTAGTCAGGTTTGTCACATTGCTTTCTCTTGCTGCTGTCAATTGTTCGTTAGGACTTCTTACTTACGGTTGGATTGTGTGCACCTGAATCTACTTCTCGCGACAGTTACTGCAATTCACATGCCCACTGAGCTCCTCAAGCTTGTGGGCTTACCTTAAGCTCACTTTTAACTATTGGTCTTCGTTTGTTTCGTCCAGACTTGGTGGTGATTTTTCTCTCTCGATAGCCTCAACTCCGGGGATCTATTAACTATTAAGTGTCATCAGTAGTGCATGCGAGAGCGCAGTTTTTTATTGTCCTACCCAGGTCTACTACCCAACCGAGATTGAGTGGCTCTGAAGCTGCAACTCATGCACGACGGACTTCGATATCATACGGATAGTTGCAGTTCCTTAGCATCATTTTCGAACTATTGATCATTTCGGTTCAAAATACTCGCTTTCGAATGACTGCTCTTCCCATCTGCAGAGCGGCGGTGTATTTATTCTGCCAATTCCCTCTCTGCTCACCTCCATTCTCCAAAGCAACACTTCACCAAGTTGCTAGCTGCCTTTCGCTTTATACCGGTCAAGTGAATTTTTCTGATAGATTATTCGCTTAATGTGACCATTTTGGAACTTCATCTATGCTTGCTTTATTTGCATCTACTCGCTGTCAAGACACTTGTTGTGTATTCGCTCTATACACAGGCCGTCTAGACATGCACTGCCCACGTGCACCTTACTCCACACAGGCACATAAGTACACGCTTACATGCTTACCTATTGGTTCATTTGCTTTTACTCAACGTAGGTAGACACTGTCAAATTACAGCATTTTTTACCGGAACTTACCTTCTTACTTCGTGTTATGGGGACACAACTTCCCCACAATGATCACAAGTTTGAACCACGGCAGACAGTGAAACTCGATTCAGACAAGTGCACATGTTTCGATCAGCTTTCCCACCCGTGAGACATTCAACTTTTGTTTGGCCTTTGTACCTCAGAAAACATTCCTGTTTCAGACCAACCTCCGCAGTCATATAACGTTCAGCTTTTTTTACCTAATAAACATTCAGTTTTCCAGTCCAGCTTCCGCATTTACCTACCTTCACTTTTCAACATGTTCCGTTGGCATATTTGCATAATGCCAATTCAGTTGCTTCCAGGGTTTGCTTACGCAAACCATTGGCACCATCGAGGTATAAAAGAAACGCTGGACTGCGCTGTAATCGCCTTGAGCCTGGCCGGTAAAAGTGCCTACGCGAAAGGCCTGTCTTTTGTCTTGTTCTCTGGGGTTGGGTAGCTGTGTCTGAAGTTGTGTTCGGTCGAGGATCCCGTAGTAGTAACCGTAGTTTTGCCTAACCGTGTTTCGCTTAAGTCTCACGGATCGTGCAACTTCGAATTTTGTCGGTTACTTTGTTGTACGTGAAATAGTTTCAAGCCACATTCGTTCGCCCGACTAGGAGAGTTGATACCAGATCGTCAGAGCGTGGCGAAACCAAGAGGCAGTTATAACACTTCGGCTCGTTTTTGCGCTTTTTCTTATACAGTACTGGCGTCGCGACTTTTGAACCTACACTCCATCGTTACAGTTCACTGGTCTGATCCGACTTTACGTGCTGCTGAAAATGCATAAGCCCAGTAGGAAACATCGTTTGCGAACTATCTTGACCTACTTCCTGATTCTTCTATCTACACAGAATTGCAGAAACTAAAGCTTTTCAGACACCTACTCGTTGATGAAGGACAACCCCCATTCGATGCCTTGGCGCTCTAGTCTCAAGATACCTTAACAAATGCATTAGATGTGCTGGATAAGTCATGGGGCATCAGCTCAGATAGTAGAGCGTTTCAATCGATCGTCGGCAATTTCAAACTATTCTTTTATCTGGTACAGGTTGGGAGGAGGTAGTCCTGCAAGCACTGTTTTCTTACCGAACCACACCACCAGGCCACAAACAAAACGCCAACCTAACATGCGTGGGCGTATCCTTCGGACGAAGTTGGATGTCGCACTTGCGATCCCCATGCAACTGATAACTCAGACATTAAATCGTCGCCATCGATATCAAACGACTTACCGGAAGTTTACTACTCCGCTCCAGCCCAGAACATTCGTGCGCTGGTGGGTAAACGCTGCGTCAAAATGACAGCCCACAATATCAGATCCGATACAAATAACTCGCGCATGTGGACCAGGCACTTACCGGCTCGAAGATCGCCGCACAGTCAACGCACGGTTATACACGAATAGCAATCGAAAAGAGCATGTACCACCGTCCTGCAACGCATAGCACGGGGCTGCGCCGAACAGGCCGAGAAACCAGACCACCGGATCGATATGGTTTCGAGGTGCCACAGGATTAAGCGGAGAAGTGATGTGTATTCACTCTGTACCTTCAGACAAATCGTCTAGACAGACTGCCTACATGCACAAATCTAGACAGGCACATACGCACACGCTTAGCTGCATCCCTATTGGTCCATTCCGTGCCTCTTGTACTCATCATCCGTAGATACTGTCAGATTACATCGCTTTGCCGGAACGGACCTTCTAACTTCGGCTCTTGCTTGCGCTTTTTCGTTTGCAACAACACTGTTTTCACTGTACTCCCGCTTTTGTCTCCTTCCCGTAACCTGCAGTATGGACTAGGTGTATTCAAGACATTACCAGAAATGAGCTGATTGTAGTTTCGTCGATGATATCGCGTCTGTTGTGGCTTGGAACAGATCTTTTCATTAAAAAAGCTGATACTTTGATCCAACTCCATGTGTTTGGACACCTGCAGCCAAAACGGAACCCATATGACTTGAACAACTTGTCGTTTTTATTGTGGTTTAATGATATCCGATGGCTATTTATCGGTGGTCATGTGAGAAACTCAGCTTCCGTACTGTTGACATGTCCCATCCCATTTATTCCTTTCTCGCTCTGTAGACCAAGCTGCCGGTTAAACGTTACATGATTGCTCCATTTGCTGATCAACTCAACCGATCGTTTCAAATGTGGAGATGCGCTTTGGACTCATTTAGATTTAACACAACCTAGAATGGCGCTGTGGAACTAATTTACTCAGATGATAATAAATGTCACAATTCAACGTCATATCGATTGTTCTCATGGACACATCCGCACTGTTACTGTCCAGTCGATTTTTAGATGAGAAATCTCCTCTTGCTTACCACACTGATCATGCTCCACTCTACCGCGGTAGCATTGTTAGAATAGCCCATTGTGTACTGTTATCATCCACTGCATGCTCAGAAACACATCGAATCACGCAGGCCATCCTTTAACTCGAATATCTTTTCCCCAGTCTGTAGTTGCCGTCAGCTTGACCGTCATTGTTCACCCGTACAACATTAATGGCCTCACTCCCCTCGACGGTGGATGCCGGGGCTTGCACGTACAATCCATCTCACACTGGGCACCTGCTAGCACTGGGCCGTACAGTCAAGCCGTAACGGTGACGGTTCCATCCAATCTGTCATCACACACGGAATACGACTCCGACGTCTCAGGTGCGATGACAAGCGAAGGCAAGCTGTTCACGTACACCTTGTTTTCTGGGCAGATGGGTCTGATCCCTGAAACCTTGACTGTACCAACCTCAATCCAGCTCAATTGTTCCGAGGCTCACGCACTGGAGACGGAATGTTGGTTGGCTTTGCGACACTGCCACCGTGTTTTAAAAGTTAGTTTCATTTCCGAATGCTTTCTATTTCTTCCAGTGTTGATATGGCATCCTTCTCTATATATGCTCTTCACAGCACAAATAAACGCGGTCATAAGCGAATCGAGTCCGTTTGATTTTTCTCCGCACGGCTTTTATCAGATGTTGGCCCCGTCCTCCGATCAGCATTCTAATCACAATTACCTCCTCCACTTCAGCGCATATGTGGTTTTCAGCAGAATCCTGTTGGTCGTGCACTTTTTAACAGCTTCCTGATACATGTGCTTTTTATTTGACCGTTTCCCCTAACTCTTAATGAATTCGGATATGGACCCACTCTGCGTTTGCTCCTCACATTGTTGTTACGCCATTGCGATATGTTATTTCCACTCATACGCTCTGTTAATGCACGCTTTCGTTAAGCCTTAGGCTTGTTACAACTCTTGATTGGTTCAGCCTGTAGGGTGGCTCTCCAAATAACAAAACAATCTTTTGGTGGTGATTGGACTTTTGCAGAATCTTTTGCTTGTACATGCATTTGTATCACTATTGAGATATCAACTTGTTCACCGAGCTGGACACTTCGTTTGTAGATGTTTTGCCACTACTCATGGTAATATCTTCAGTGCTTAGTCATAACAGTCAAATCCAGCTAATCTGTTGTCGCCCTTTTTCACTGAATAGTCCTCGTTCTCAGTCCTATGCCATCTGCTCGCGTACATTGGCCCACACACGTATTCGGTTCACCATACGTCTGCTCTGTCTCAGGTCGCATGTAGCTTGGCTCACTTTGGATCACACCAATTCCGCTTTGTCCGTTTGGCCCGCACAATTCTTATCAACCCGTGGTCGGCACTTGACTGGATTTCGGTCAACTGGCCTTATATTAACTACATCCACCCAGTTAGTCAGCCATCATTGCACCGCATCGTCAGCCTAGGTTTTTTTTATCGCGCGGCTGCTTTCCCTTCACTTATGACGAATCCACTCTCCTTGTTCTCTGGAATTTTATTCGCGCTAGGGAACGCCATTGCGATTTGCTAGTTTGTATAGTCGAAAATTATACCCATAGAATTGATAAAACACAAGGTAGCGAAGAGCACTCTTTTCGATAAATCTCATCAGGCGTTTACAATTATAAAATGGAAAGTTGAAGCGGGAAAGGCTGGAGAAGCGCGATAAATGTTAGCGAATCAGAGCGAGGCAGAAAGTGGACTATCCTAATCGATAAATTGGTCGATCCACTCAAGCAGCGGTTACCACAGTATACGTAGGCAGACATAGATACACACACACACACACACATATGCTCACGAGACTTACGACGTGCTTTTCAACGGATTGGGTGACGCACTCATCACCCAGTGGTTGTTAGCGTGTGAAGTGGGAGCTGTTTGAAAATGTGTTAGCCCTGGGGCTAACACATTCCCAGCCTATCCCGCTTCAACTTTCCATTTTATAATTGTAAACTCCTGATGAGATTTATCGAAAACAGTGCTCTTCGCTACCTTGAGTTTGTATAGTGCTTGGTTGATTGTAAGCCCGCTTATTCTGTATCGAGTCCCTTCGTTACAACCACCAGCTAACGTCACACAACCTACGTTTTTCACCTTGGCTAAATCCTCCTTGATTCCAAAACACATTTGTGATCGGTACCCAATGTAAACAAAATTGAAATTTTTGGTGCTTTATTATCCTGCTTGATGCTTTGATGATACTTATTGAAATGATGAAGGGTTGTGGGCTCTTCCCCATAAAAGACAATAGTTGTTCATCTTATTCCTTATCACCAACGCCTAGTCGTTTTCCTTTGCGTATATTTACCTATGTACCTGATTGAATATTGCTCCAAGAACGCATGCAGCGCAATCGTAAAAATTCGCCCCGTAATTGGCTGTCTCATTGATTAGACTACCATTCTGACGAATTACGGTCTTTTGCGTCTAAGTATAATGTATTCGATTTCTCCCCCTCTGCGATTCTTCCTTCCGTTCCAAGATCTTACCGTTTTTCCCAAACTCTACATTATTTCCTACACTACAGTGGTATGATAAACTCTGATTTGTCCATCGTTATCAAACTCCTGTTCACCGTCGCAAACTTAACCTATTTTTGTCCCAACTAGAATACTTTTGATTGTCCGATCGAAAATTAACACACCGAAGCAGTCATACCATTTTCCGCCGAGCTTTTTCATGGCGCATAGCCTTTTGGAAAGCTGTTGAGTTTCACTTTCTGCGATGCTGCTAAATGCAGTCATTCATGTTCACTCACCAGTACGTGCACCGACCGGCAAACTATAACCATGCAGTTACGAATAGCGATTTTCATGCGTTATATGTTGAGCATTCAAAGCTGACAAACTAGCCCGCGGAACGATGCTCTCTTTCCAACTGGTGGATCAAAGCAGTCTTTTATTGCATAATGCTAAGGTCGGCAACTGAAAATGTGAACAATAGGATATAATCTTTCAGCGAGTAGGTTCGGTGTTGCGAATGCCATGACCGTAGCAGGTTCCCGTGACCACGCCAAGTTTGCTACCACGTGTCAGCTGACCTCATTCAACGAACCGATGCAAACCGACTATGTTAGTAGTAGCCCTCTGTTATCGCAATTGTGCCCATTGGCTGTGAGCATTCGAATGCTATTAGAAAAAATTTATGATCGAGGTTTTTCTACTCATTTGTCACTGTATTGTCCTTGAATGATCAAATTTTCTTACTTTTCTGATCCACGATTCTGTTTGAAGCAATACCTCAATCCTGTTGGATGTACGCCCTTTGCACTTTAACTTCCCTGGCTTTAGCATGGGATACCAGATGCTGAACGGTACACCTTCTAGACTAAAACAAATTAGCTGAAGTTGCCCGTTTTTTTCAAGTTTTGCTTGCGTTTACCCAATGGTTTCCATCTTCTTAACCTTAGCGCTACTAACCCACCGAATACTCCGGCTGCTATAGTTGCCGGTCATCTGAAAAAATAATCTTCTGGTAATGGCACGAAGTTACAACTTTGTTAACTAAACACTTCGCTACTTCAGCTCTTTAAGTGGCACTGTTAATTCCCGTTCTGTGGCCTCTTGGTTGGTAAATGGCCACTCGGCCAAGCCGTAGACTTCCTCTCGGTTACGTTATCGTGTGCTCGCTGATGCTCCTCAACACATTCCTGTTGTTCCGGTGATGGTTAACGTTTCTGGACCGTTTGATCACTCCCATTTACTTGTGATGAACCGAATCTGTACTCTAGATTTATATTGACATCAGCTGTCTCATTGGTCTTTTTGATCCGAACATCTACAGTTACGTTATCGGTTTATGTATAAGCTCCACACTTATTGTGCTTCTCGGGGAGTTGACTTCAAGTTCTATCGTACCCGTCACGTTCATACCATAGCCTCCAATCGATTTCGCTATTTTTGTACGGAACTCTATTTACTGTCTACATATAGTCTCGCATTGTGGTGACCCCGCACTAACACCTCCCTTACCTTGGAATTTGCTGATTTTCATCCAATTTCTTTTATGGATCATGCGACACACCTACTTCATTCAATGTAACATTTCTTGACTTAACTGACATTGCGTAGACAAGTCCCCGATTCTCTGAACCATTTTCTAAGACCGTCCATCGATGCATCAATGTACAGACGATGATCACTTCATTAGAATCCAGCGTCTCAATACACAGCTCTGTTAAGCCATTCAGCCGTCCAACAGTTTTTCGTCTTAAGGCTGCCTTCATCCAATATACAATTACTTTTTGTGCACAACATCGGGTATGTTATCCTAGCCTGGTTGATAGGCCACTTGGCGAGATCATCTGTCCTATGACAGTGACTTCTTACACTTTGGGAGAATCCCTCATTCTCCACCAGTATGATGCAGAACAGCACCGATGGCGAATGCTGATTTTAGATGTCACTTAGCTTAGTCCTCCTACTTGATCTAAGATACAACTTAACGGGCTAAAATTTGCAATAACCTATTGCTTTTCATTTGATCTGTTATGGCTCAACCAAACCATCTGTTTAGTTCACCGAGTTGCGCTGCTGATCGATGAAACAAAATGATAAGGCACTAGCTTCTCTATAAAACTAGTGATGCTGAAAGTCTCTCACCGTTTGTTCCGTAATTTATAGTACTTTTGTATGCGAGTTAGTGTCGCAGCTGACCGTTTGCACATTCTTGTCCGTTTGTATAAAGATGGTACTACTGTTCCCATCTATTGTTCACAGGCGGTATCCTGTGCTATATGGGCCAACCTGTATGCAGGCATTTGCTTTGGCATCTCCAAGAAGGCGTTACTCCAGGCCAAATTGGCATTTCACTCAGCTGTCTGTTCGGTATGGTTCGCATCACCGGAATCGGACGGCCTCTGTGCCACTGATGAGGTACGCAACCATTGCTGCGTATGCAATACACATGTTGTTTGGGCACAAGTTTCCGGACTGTCAAACAACTCGTCAATCGAATGGCAATTCTTCACCCGCTCAAATATGGAAAGACTTCACCACTCCCCTCTAGTCTACGGAGGAGCTGATATATTGACTTTTCTTGCACAGCCTTGTATCATATTTTCCGTAAACAATTCATTCGCGGGACCTCTTGGAAAATGTGTAATCCCAGTCGGTGGTCTCCTGGACCGGACTGATGCGATAGCTGCATTAATCCTGTAACTATACAGAATCGTTCGATTTGACGCTGTGATTTTTTTCTTGACCTCCCTGGATAATATTCATTCCCCGACTCGCCGCTAGTTCCATCGACAGGCTATCCGTCTTGCCAGCCTCTAGACCTTTAATACTAAAGCGATCAAGGGAGTCTGTCTTGCGACTCGCCGTGGCTCATCGAATTGTGCTACCTTTCTGTAAAGGAACATGGTCTGTCTATATGCAATCTGGCCACTTAGTTGATGGTTCCGTCCGTAATTGGGACTGTTTTGTTTTCCACTATTTTTAGAGGATACATACTTACCATCATTGTATAGTCCGCCATTTCGGACTCTGGTCTTCATTAGCATAATGCACAGAACAGGCAAATTCTCGCACCCAGATATGATGTTACGGATTGTGTGTCCTCCAATAACGTGGCGCTGAAATCGTAATTTGCTCTTTCGCACAGATTGGCTTACTTAAGCCATTTGAGTATGCTCTACACACCAAGGCACCTTATATTCAATTGCCTCTAATTGTACTACATTGTATCCGGAGGGGATAGACAACGATGAGGCAAGATAAAAGAATCCGCATATTTATAAGCGTAAATAAGTTGTTAGCAAAGAAGTTGGTCGCATTATTCCCCGCCTAGTTACATAATCAGGCACTACTAAAACAGAACCAAATATAACTGAATTGTTGTTTTAACAGCTCTGAATCTAAGTTGTGAAAATCTCTACGCACCTCACTGGTCCGCCATAACTTCCGCAATAGAGATTTTTTGGTTGCTCTCCCCAGGGTTGTGGGTGAGCATAGGCAATGGGACAGCTCTGATGGGCCCCGCTTAGTGTTTTACAAACCCTGTAGCGGCGAGGCAGTCTGAGAATGGGATCGCGACAAAGAACAAAATGATATTTCATTTGACAATTTCATCACATATAAGCAGCACCACATACAGGCGCAATCGATTTGGTCAAACGCAATCCTCAAATTAGGAAGCGCCCATTTCAGCTTCAAATTGCGGTGCAGCCTTTGCCATAGAAATTCACTGATTTGACTTCACGATGATGACCAGTGAAGCGCTGTACTACTATTCGCATAAACAATTTGATGGTGGCTTCTCACATACTTCTATCGTAGGACATACCGTGGCAATTTTCGCGTGCATCGTGAAATGTCGATATGTGCCAGCACCTCGTTAACAACAGATTGGCCTAGTTAACCAGCGTGGTATCGGTCCCATCCTTTAACGGCGAGGGAGTGAGATCATGGAGCTTAAAAGGTTTGTTTTCACTTAACAACACCATTTCGCTTCAGGCACTGTCTCTGTTAAGAGGAGTGAGCTTGTTTGCTTTATGGACTTATGGTGAAACGCCTGGCCCACTGAGGTGATATGAATGGAAATAGAGACGGGGACGCCGGTGTTTTGTGATTAGGGGCGAGGAGCGACTGCCTCCAAATCGGCTAACCTGAGTACGAACGTTAAATTAAACCCTTAACAGAATGACGATGGAGAAATGTATTTCAGCACCGAGCAGATCTTCCTACAGCAATCCACGGTTTACGCAGCCGGATACGTTGCTGTGGTCAAAAAAAACAAATTCGGATGGACTTGGTTTCGTTGCCCAGAAATGGCAGAACCTAATGCACAAGACAAGTTATTGCGTCTTGAGCTGGCAACGAACTGCAGATTGCAAAATTACAGAAGAGTAGTAGGGGGAGTTGAATGGTATAGGTAGAATTTCGTCACATCTAGGCTCACTCAGACAGCCGCCACAAGCCCGGAAAAGCACTGTACGCGCGTTTCATCCTTTCGGGAATCATCAGCAGTGCGCATTCCATCGGACCCTTGGTAGGGCTCGAAACCGCAACTCGACTGTTGCCAGTCCGTGGTTGAGACCACTGAGCTACGGGGGGACGGCAGCGACCATCGTGAATAAGTTACTAGATGTGATATAGCGCCGCTCACTATCCACTGACTTACACGTTACTGCCGTGCAGAGGACAGGGTAGCCCCCTCACCAAGCGACGAGCTTAACAAACTTAAGCCGCCAATTCTCTTATGGCATTATAAGCAGTTTGTTCTGTGTACTAATTACAGAAGAGTAGTAGGGGCAGTTGAATGGTATAGGTAGAATTTCGTCACATCTAGGCTCACTCAGACAGCCGCCACAAGCCCGGAAAAGCACTGTACGCGCGTTTCATCCTTTCGGGAATCATCAGCAGTGCGCATTTCCATCGGACCCTTGGTAGGGCTCGAAACCGCAACTCGACTGTTGCCAGTCCGTGGTTGAGACCACTGAGCTACGGGGGACGGCAGCGACCATCGTGAATAAGTTACTAGATGTGATATAGCGCCGCTCACTATCCACTGACTTACCCGTTACTGCCACAGGATAGTTGGCGGCGCTATATCACATCTAGTAACTTATTCACGATGGTCGTTGCCGTCCCCCGTAGCTCAGTGGTCTCAACCACGGACTGGCAACAGTCGAGTTGCGGTTTCGAGCCCTACCAAGGGTCCGATGGAATGCGCACTGCTGATGATTCCCGAAAGGATGAAACGCGCGTACAGTGCTTTTCCGGGCTTGTGGCGGCTGTCTGAGTGAGCCTAGATGTGACGAAATTCTACCTATACCATTCAACTCCCCCTACTACTCTTCTGTAATCAGTACACAGAACAAACTGCTTATAATGCCATAAGAGAATTGGCGGCTTAAGTTTGTTAAGCTCGTCGCTTGGTGAGGGGGCTACCCTGTCCTCTGCACGGCAGTAACGTGTAAGTCAGTGGATAGTGAGCGGCGCTATATCACATCTAGTAACTTATTCACGATGGTCGTTGCCGTCCCCCGTAGCTCAGTGGTCTCAACCACGGACTGGCAACAGTCGAGTTGCGGTTTCGAGCCCTACCAAGGGTCCGATGGAATGCGCACTGCTGATGATTCCCGAAAGGATGAAACGCGCGTACAGTGCTTTTCCGGGCTTGTGGCGGCTGTCTGAGTGAGCCTAGATGTGACGAAATTCTACCTATACCATTCAACTCCCCCTACTACTCTTCTGTAATTAGTACACAGAACAAACTGCTTATAATGCCATAAGAGAATTGGCGGCTTAAGTTTGTTAAGCTCGTCGCTTGGTGAGGGGGCTACCCTGTCCTCTGCACGGCAGTAACGTGTAAGTCAGTGGATAGTGAGCGGCGCTATATCACATCTAGTAACTTATTCACGATGGTCGTTGCCGTCCCCCGTAGCTCAGTGGTCTCAACCACGGACTGGCAACAGTCGAGTTGCGGTTTCGAGCCCTACCAAGGGTCCGATGGAATGCGCACTGCTGATGATTCCCGAAAGGATGAAACGCGCGTACAGTGCTTTTCCGGGCTTGTGGCGGCTGTCTGAGTGAGCCTAGATGTGACGAAATTCTACCTATACCATTCAACTCCCCCTACTACTCTTCTGTAATCAGTACACAGAACAAACTGCTTATAATGCCATAAGAGAATTGGCGGCTTAAGTTTGTTAAGCTCGTCGCTTGGTGAGGGGGCTACCCTGTCCTCTGCACGGCAGTAACGTGTAAGTCAGTGGATAGTGAGCGGCGCTATATCACATCTAGTAACTTATTCACGATGGTCGTTGCCGTCCCCCGTAGCTCAGTGGTCTCAACCACGGACTGGCAACAGTCGAGTTGCGGTTTCGAGCCCTACCAAGGGTCCGATGGAATGCGCACTGCTGATGATTCCCGAAAGGATGAAACGCGCGTACAGTGCTTTTCCGGGCTTGTGGCGGCTGTCTGAGTGAGCCTAGATGTGACGAAATTCTACCTATACCATTCAACTCCCCCCTACTACTCTTCTGTAATCAGTACACAGAACAAACTGCTTATAATGCCATAAGATAATTGGCGGCTTAAGTTTGTTAAGCTCGTCGCTTGGTGAGGGGGCTACCCTGTCCTCTGCACGGCAGTAACGTGTAAGTCAGTGGATAGTGAGCGGCGCTATATCACATCTAGTAACTTATTCACGATGGTCGTTGCCGTCCCCCGTAGCTCAGTGGTCTCAACCACGGACTGGCAACAGTCGAGTTGCGGTTTCGAGCCCTACCAAGGGTCCGATGGAATGCGCACTGCTGATGATTCCCGAAAGGATGAAACGCGCGTACAGTGCTTTTCCGGGCTTGTGGCGGCTGTCTGAGTGAGCCTAGATGTGACGAAATTCTACCTATACCATTCAACTCCCCCTACTACTCTTCTGTAATTAGTACACAGAACAAACTGCTTATAATGCCATAAGAGAATTGGCGGCTTAAGTTTGTTAAGCTCGTCGCTTGGTGAGGGGGCTACCCTGTCCTCTGCACGGCAGTAACGTGTAAGTCAGTGGATAGTGAGCGGCGCTATATCACATCTAGTAACTTATTCACGATGGTCGTTGCCGTCCCCCGTAGCTCAGTGGTCTCAACCACGGACTGGCAACAGTCGAGTTGCGGTTTCGAGCCCTACCAAGGGTCCGATGGAATGCGCACTGCTGATGATTCCCGAAAGGATGAAACGCGCGTACAGTGCTTTTCCGGGCTTGTGGCGGCTGTCTGAGTGAGCCTAGATGTGACGAAATTCTACCTATACCATTCAACTCCCCCTACTACTCTTCTGTAATTAGTACACAGAACAAACTGCTTATAATGCCATAAGAGAATTGGCGGCTTAAGTTTGTTAAGCTCGTCGCTTGGTGAGGGGGCTACCCTGTCCTCTGCACGGCAGTAACGTGTAAGTCAGTGGATAGTGAGCGGCGCTATATCACATCTAGTAACTTATTCACGATGGTCGCTGCCGTCCCCCGTAGCTCAGTGGTCTCAACCACGGACTGGCAACAGTCGAGTTGCGGTTTCGAGCCCTACCAAGGGTCCGATGGAATGCGCACTGCTGATGATTCCCGAAAGGATGAAACGCGCGTACAGTGCTTTTCCGGGCTTGTGGCGGCTGTCTGAGTGAGCCTAGATGTGACGAAATTCTACCTATACCATTCAACTCCC